CAGGCGTGAGTCTATTCATGATGAATTGCCAAACCAAACTGAGAATAAATTACTTGACAGCTGTTAAACTTGGTCGCCATTAACAGTGATGCCAACTTATAGTTATATACCTCTAAAAAAAACACGCTTTATTAAAAAAAACCTGACCTACTACTACTAAATGCAGGGCTCTAATAAATATCTCTAACCTGTTAATCACAGAAAAAAATATATTTCTATTTTTGTAAAGGCAGGATAAAAAGTTGTTTATAGTATTATTTCATTGACGTCAAAATTTCAGTTGTGTCTATTTTCACCATTCGTCGCGGATTATTCGACCTTAAGAATCCATGTACGTGAAGAATTCGCACATTATTTGACCTTAAGAATAACCGAATCATTCGACGTGAAGAATTCGCGGGTTATTCGGTGAAAGACGCATCTAGATGCCTGTAAAATATTTTAGGGCACATATTTTTTTTTGTATTTTTTTAAGCCTGTTCACCGCATCAAGTTGTTTGGGAAGAGAGGTGAACAAATTACTTCAATGGCTCATAGGCTTCGATTGAATCAAATTGCGATGTGTTTTTATTATAAGGTTTTATTATAATTGAGCGTAGACCCTCGAAGATATCTTAAATCAAAACATTAAATGTTGCTATTTTTTTCAACGCGAAAACTAAGTATGCAGATATGCTTATATACGTATATATTAACATATTTTGTTGACCTGTGTTATCTTAAAAAAAAACAAAAGTTTTACGGGTATAATAAACTAGCAGGGTCTGTAGCCCGCAGCTTCGCCTGCGGAAATTAAAATTGAAAATTAAGCATTGCTCTATCTTTGGTACTTATTTTAAATTAAAAAAATTCCTAATTTTTATTCTATAAACCGAGAAAAGAACTTTTTCCCTTGATATCCGCAAAAACAAAAATACTTTGTCCTTTGAAAACTACTTAAAAAAACATGTGTCTTTTTAAATCTTTTTAAAATTATTATGGATTGTTTGCATAAGTTAACAGATGGACAAAACAGAAACAAACAGATTCCTTTTTCGACACAAATCCTTACACTAATTTCATTCAAAACATTAGTATTTTGTCTAAAGCATATTATTTAAATATAGAATGTCATACTGCGTTGAGCATGTAATTAAATTCCCAATCCATTGCCATTAAAGCCTAGAAACATTATTTGAAAAAAAAATTCTTTATGAAAAAAATAGATAGGATACGAATTTGATTAAATTTACATGTTAAAAATATTAAACTCTTTTTTAATTTCAGAGAGTTTTGACTATTGCTGTCTCGCTCTTACCCAGCTAAATTTATGCGTTTTTTTGTATGAATTTAGAGTGCAAAAATATGAATTTCAAAGCAGTACTTTATCGAAAACAAAGCAAAAAACTGCCAAAATTATCACGGCGCGTTAAATTTGTAATTCAATTCCAAATCGATTAGCGTTTAGCTCTGGAAAAAAAACTTGTATTCTTAAAAAAAATTCCTAAAAGTTTTACATAGCTCTCCAACAACCAATATAATAATTTTGACTAAGATTTAAAAAGTTTAAGGGAATATTTTTAATTTAAGTTCGCCTTGAAATGTAACAACCGCTTCAAAATGTGATGGGATGTTTATCCTTCGACAGTTACAAAAAAAATTAATGTCTACAATTCTTATTTTAAAAAAATTAATGCCAGAGATAGGATTATTTAAGGCTTAATTTTATTTCATCGGTCCCTTAAAACAAATCCTGTTGATATTGGCCTTGCTACCTCGTTCTACATTTTCTATTTCTATTTTTTGTTTTTTAAAGATGTTTAAAGATGCAATTTTTAAACTATTTAAACCGAGTTATGTTTACTCTTTGTAAAGATGTTAATTCTTGATAATTATTTAGTTACCTAAGAATGTAGCAAAGCTAATTTTATGCACTTGGGTAAGTACAAACCAAATACTCTTGACGAATTTGCTACCGGGGGGTTTTTGGAAGGTATCCACAGTAGACAACTATTATAAGGGAAACAAATATGCGGGAGCAATGTTTTGCTTTATGTATTTGACTTATTTAAGGAAAGACATCAAAAAAGGCAATTTCAAATTACTGCATTTTACCATTGATATTTTGTTTCAGTATTTTTGTTTTCACATTAATTTTTCACCTTGATTAGAATTACATATATTAATAATAGGGAAGGCAGGTGGGCGGGGAAGCCGTCAATCAAATTGTTTAAACATTTGAATTTTAAACAATATGAGCACGTGTAATAAAGAGCAAGAGAATCAATTGGTTTGAATATTTAATGTTATTTTAATATTATAAATGCGATTTGAATTTTAGTTCACAAAAATCGGTTTCAAAATGTCTTATGTAAGTATGTTGTGGAAATGTAAATTAAATATTCTTTTAGCAAAGGGATATCAGTATTATCTTGAGTTTGAATTTGAGCGAATCTCAATTCCTTAGTCAGCTGCAATGCACACACACAAACGAACACACGCATATACATATGTATCTAATGGCTGTGTGTGTAAAATACGCATTTTTTTGATATATTTATTTTGTGCGTGTGTGTGTACATAGCAGAGCAAATCATTGTTTGTTTTTTACAAATCCAAAGTTTGTCGATAACTCAACATTTGAAAACTAATAAATAGTTTGCTGATGGGTCTTTTGCATTTAAAAAAACAGAAGCAATTTTAAGGAAAATTTCGACTGTAAAATTCAGCTTAATGGGATCTCTGTAAGGTCTACCGATATTTTAAAATTTAACGATTACTTAAGAAAAAGGCGCAAAAGAAAAGATTTGCGATATAATCGATTTTTTTTGGCTGTGGTATTTTCATTTTCCCCTTGCGCGGTCACACTTAAATTGCGACAGCAGGACATACATACAGTTGCGAAAAAAATAATAGCACCACTTCGTCACAGGTTCTTAATATTAAAGAAATATGTGGAAAGCGGGGATTTTTATATAAGAAGTGTTTTTTATTATCTTGATTAGTATTCCACCTATTTGAAAAAATTGATACGGATATCGAAAATATTGTCTACATATAATTTTTTCAGATTTTAAGAAAAAAGTCAAAAAAAGGCCGAAAAAAATAATAGCACCACTTCCGTTTTCTTTAAATAAAACGTTACGATGCGCTAATATTCTTGTGTATAAAGGATATATTTTATGAGATTTGACTAAAACTAACTTCCCCTGATATCCAGACATCAAATTGATTACCATTTGGCAATACAAGGACATGTGGAAAATTTTCCAAGTCGGAAAAGAAAAATATTCAAAAAAGAAACATATTGGATGGAAAACGGTCATGAAAACCGGTTGGATTGGTTAGGTTTTGGATCACCTTCATTAAGAATGGCATAAACTTTGAAGAATAACACAGAAAAACCGAGTCCTGGCCCATTTTTCCTTCCAAAATGTTATATCACAAAGCACAAAGAATCTTATCAGGGCCAAAGCTAAACTAAAACACGTGCTTAAAATAATAGCGAATATTTTAATAGTTGGATAATGATTCAATAAACAAATTTATAAAACATGCACTTAAAAAAAAAATCCTATCCGAAATGGGAAACACATTTACCAGGGCATAGGGCTCGTCAAAAAAAACTTACAAATGAATGCCCGCAAACTTATGAGAATGTGTGAAGGCAAAGTTAAATTGGGTAAGAAGAAATCCTTTTTATAAGTCATGTGTCTTCTAAACACCTAAATTGACCAAGAACATGGTACCAAAACATCCATTTATTGAGCATGGAGCTAGTATTAACATAGGCTTGTTTTTCCTTCTTGAAGTAAGATCAATACGGATGAATACATCGTTCATAAATTATCCTATGATGTAAATAATAATACTGTAGTAATTCGTAGCTTAAACTGAATACAAAATACTTCTTAAATGAATCTTTGACCAATAAAATCCGGCCAGGATCACGGTCAGGATAGCAAAGAAAGAGTTCGAAAGTACTCAGTCAGCAATATACAGTGACTTGTGTACTCGCTTGACCATAACACAACCAAAAATCGTCGAGTTTTTTTTTTAAAGACAGTTTATACAGTTAATCTAAAACGTCTTAAATCATTTCCGAACAAAATTTGAAAATATATCATGACTTTTGGGCCCCAATTCCTTTATAGTTAGGGTCCTGACTTGTTTAATCGATAGTAAGTCATTATATCCAAAAATCGCAAAAGATATTTACACTTTAAACTTAGATTTACTTGTTAGCTACCGCCAACTAAAGATTAAGTTACCCATTTGTCATTTTTCTACCTTTTATTCTATTTTTAGAGAAGTGGTGCTATTATTTTTTTCGTACGTTTTTCCAGTTTTGCATAGATTTTCTTAAATAAGTCCAGAAACCATTTATAAAGCTAACATTTTTTTTCATATTCAAATTATGTTTAGTCTTACTATTTAAAACCCGTTTTGAAAAGTTAAAAAAGTTAAAAAATGTGAGTAGGATGACTAGTTAAATTTTTTTTGGGTAAGTGGTGCTATTATTTTTTTCACAGCTGTATGTACATACATACATGCACCAGCAGAACATACATACAAACATATGGGGACGCGTGACGTCACATAAGGTTAGCCAAATTTGAAAATATTGGGGACTTGGTTAAGGATGCTGAATCTCCAAGAAATTTAAATGCAGTTATGTGCGGGTATGCCATAAGATTATAAACATCACATTTTTAAACCATTTTAACAACATTTATAACAGAGAAATGGCAAAAGAAAGAATTTAAAAAAAAAACAACTCGAATTTTGGGGCACTTTGGGGTCGTTTTTTGTTCTAAAAAGTACCCCTTACGCGGCTCCTAATTATTTTAGTAATTACTGTGATTTTTCTAGATTTTTAGGTCAATCCGTTCTGGGTGGAATTTGCTACTGACCGTTTTTTAATCAAGACAAATATTGATATAGATATATAATTCTTAAGAATTTAAAACCATTTTTATACTTAATTAACATTTTGTTTCTTAATAATATTTAATTCTTACCGCATTGCAACTATTAATATCTGATATTTCTCCACTTTCTAGAAAATCAACCACTTTTTTGATGTCTCCGCTGCGTGCAGCACGTAAGAATGATATCGTTGCGTCGTTCTGTAAAAAAATCAAAAGATTTTAGTTATTTATTTTAATAATAATTATTAAAGAAGCAATAGGAATCTTAAATTAAATGCTTTTGTGACATGAAAGGACCTATCATCGTTATATAATGAACTAATTAATGAAGTAATTTCTCAACGGCAAAAATATAAAACCTTTTAGGGCACTACATACGGAGGTGTCGCAGAAAATATTTTTAACCGAAATCCGTTATAGTTCTTACGTACATCAATGCACAAAACCAACCGTCTCAAAATAAAGTTCAAAACACGTTTGCGTCCACTGCGTTTTTTAATATGGATTAAATTGGTATTTGTTTGTTTCGCCATGTAGTTTCAATAACTATACTTAAAAGTTGTTGTTTTTACAAAAAGCTACTATAAAAATGGATTTAAGGTGAAAAATGCGGCTTTTTTTAAAACTTTTTTGATATATCAGGATAAAAAGTTTTTTACGGATCTAATAGCTTAACGGCAAAATATAATGGTGATAATTAAGAAAATTTGAATTGAAGAATTCGCGGAATATTTAACCTGAAGAATCATTCGACATAAAGAATTCGCGGATTGTTTGAAACGAAGAATACCCAAATCGTTCGACGTAAAGAATTCGCGGATTATTCGACCTGAGGAACTCGCAAGAACTTGGAACTCAATCGAAATTTATGAGATCGATAAAATAATTTGTTATCCTGCCTCTACAAAAAAGTTCTACTAAAATACCCATTTTCCATTTTAGATCAACTATAAAACAAGAGAGAACGCTATAGTCGGGTGGGTGTCCCGACTATCTAATACCCGTTACTCAGCTAAAGGGAGTGCGAGGGAGATGGATATATAAAATTTTGATTGCGCATAATGTTTTCTACATTTCGATAGGCATAAATTTTCTACTCATCAATAAGGAGTTTTATAATAAAAATCAAAAAATTTTACCATTGATTTAAAAAAAAAACTCACAAAATAGAAATCATGGCGGATTTACATAAATTGACCAATTTGGAGCTCATTGGTGGTCGTTATTTTTTTTTACACTTTTCTAAGTTGATGTTTTTTACACACACATGCAGAACCTTTAAAGATAATGCTTGAACAAAAGATTTTAAAATATATTACACAGGTACACAGCAGAGAGCTGCAACGAGTCAATCATTTTCGGGTACACCCGATCATTTACTCGTATCCGTTTTGATTAATCGCTTCGGGTGAGCGAAATGAAATGAGCGGTGAGCGAATGCGATCGTTCAAGTGTGTGATCTGATCGTGTGTGAACGTTCGGCTTGAAGATTTTACCCGTTTGTGATCGAATATTTTGTGCAATCGATTGGTGTGATCGTGCTTTGCGCCTATCGGTATGACCGTGCAGTTCGTGTTATTGCTTTATATTTTGCACAACATATTTTTATATTTCCACAAAAGGACAACAAGTAATAGATTTTGAAAGCGTTTTAGAACTAATATCAAATGGAACCTACACGTTGCAGCTCTCTGGTACACAGCCAAAAATTTCTCCTGGTAATATTGTATTGATTATAATTGTACTATAGACTAATTGGATAACAAAAGTTACAACAAACTTTTGAAAACACAGGACGGCAACATTACTATTACTATTTTGACTGCAGGTGTATGTTTTTAAGTTTTTTGAAAGTGTTTTCTAGAATTTGTTTCTTCTTTTAAAAAAAATCCTAAAATTATTTTAAATTATTTATTATTTTAATTAAGAATTATTTGAAAGATAAAGAGTGTATCTTTTAAAAAACTTTAACATCGAATCAAACCATGAATCCGTTTGCGTCTGAGAGCTCAGGAAAGTTGGCCAATTTCAGCATTTTTCGAAACTTGAGGTCCTTTTGCTAAGAATCATTGCGTCGGGGAACTTTTTGGAAAACGTAGTTTAACTTGGGAATTCGTAACGAATCCAAAAATATAGCATCCACCGGGGTAAATTTAAAAAGCATTAAAAATGCTGCACAGTGTAATTAAAAATAGTTTCATTTAAGATTTATTTTCAGAATTTCTTTTTCATCAGAGAAATCGTGAACATTTTGGGATTTTCAACTTTGGCGTTGAATTCCAAAGACTTGGGCAATGGTTCACAATGGGGACTATTTTTTAGGAATGCCGTTATGTATTGAGAGTTGATTTCAGCAAAAATAATTAAGGTAAGTCCAATTATATAGGCCACATAATTAGAAATGTCAGAAAAGATAGGTTTTTTGTATTCTTAGCTATAACACGGAACCTGGAGGTGATAGGACATGGAAAACTAGAAATGGTTCGCGAAAATTTCACAAAGTTCAGTTTTGCGTTCCTGTGTTATTATACTCTTGCAGAGGGCATTATAAGGTCTTATGGCTCCCATAGGAATAATCAATACAATAATAACACAGGCCGACAAAATGTACATGGGTCGATGTCCAGGCCTGCCACCATTTTATTTCGATAAATGAGGCTTTTCTAAGCATAAGTTGCCACTACGCCTATAGTCCATCAGCTCTCGTATTTGCGGTATCTTTAATTTAAGAAAATCACAAATTTTCTTCGTCTTTTGGGATATGTCACCCCACGAGGAGGTGGGCGCATTCAAAACTTTAAAGTCACAGCAAAGTTTAAGTCTTCATTTGTGAACAGCGTTTAAAAATTAAATAAAAATATGTCTTCTACAATGCATTTTTGATCTAAAGACACCTTATGTCCTTAATTTTTATGACACTTATCAGGTTTTTGTGAATTGTTTTGGAATTTTTAAAATGGTTTTTCTTATTTTCTTCATAGGGACGATTCACAAACAGTGCCCAAACCCTTCGTAGCCCAGAGCCACAATTTAGCAGAAAAGGTACCTTGAACCTTTAAGGGGGGAGATACATATAGAACTGCAAATTTGTCAAGTTTTTCATGATTTTTTTTAAACAATAAGGGTTTGTGCTGGAAGTTTGCAACTTGGCATGTTGATTACATAGTTCTTATATAATCGCTGTGTGGATCCGATTTTTGTGAAACCAAATTTATTTTGTTGAGAAATAATGTAGAAACTGTCTGAACCTAACATACATTCTTATTTTTATACCCTTGTAGAGGGTATTATAATTTCAGTCAGATGTTTGCAACGCAGTGAAGGAGACGTTTCCGACCACATAAAGTATATATATTCTGGATCAGCACCAATAGCCGAGTCTATCTAGCCATGTCCGTCTGTCCGTTTCTATGCGAACTAGTCTCTCAGTTTTAAAGCCATCGCAATGAAACTTTCCTGAAAGTCTTCTTTCTATTGCAGGTAGTACCTATGTCAAAGCGAGCCGGATCGGACCACTATATCTTAAGGCTCCCATAGGAATATTCAAACAAATATAAGAAAATTCATTGTAACTTTGTAGGAAGTAGGCGTTTTCATTCTTGACTACTTATGTATAAACAAAATTAAAATATAAACGCTGAATCTGGAATCCCTGGAACTGCACCGAGTGAGCATTACTTTATCTACAAGAGTATATAAGCTTCGGCTGGCCGAAGGTAGCTTTTTTTCTTGTTCTTGTTGTTTTTGCTGTACAAAAAATACTTCAACGTACAAATTTCTACATAAAGTAGGTTCAGACAGTGGGCAATTTCATTACAAACATTTCCGTAAAAGCAGCATGATGATCAAAGCATTACTTTTTGAGATACACGATCCGCAGCTGAGAAAAACATGGTTTCGAGAAAAACGCATTTAAAGTAATGATATATATCTACTGCACAAGGAAGATGTGTGCCGTCATCCTCGTATAAGTTCCAAGATAGTTCGAATTTCTTCGTGAAACTTTTATGACTCATTCTTAAAGAGTTATACTACCGATTTAAATAATAAAAAAAATTGATTTTTTTTTGTTTTCTAAGACATTTTTATGAATCTCCCCCCTTAACTTCAAGATTGTCTAATCACAAAGTTGGGCGACCTCTACTTCTTTAGCTACAATGGACTTAACTAAAGTACTTTTTGTCACTTGTTTTCATCTATAGTAGCCTGATATTTTTAATGTATTGTATGTGTACGGGTCTCAGTTCAACAAGGAAAATATCAGGCTACTATAGATGAACAAAAGTGACAAAAAGTACTTATAATTAAGCTTCATATTTTCGTATTAGTATTTATTTAGTAACTTTTAACTTGCATTTGTTAAGAAATTATGCCCGATCAAAGTTTTGTATTTTCACGGGTATCTGATAGTCGGGGCACCCGACTTTACCGTTCTCTCTTGTTCCCAACTGGGTCTAGCCCTTCATGAACCAAGCACAAGTCCGATTCGGAGTCAATAAGACTTTACTTAAAAACTTATATTAAATCTTTAATATACTACCGCATTAGATGGAAGTCAAGTGCAACTCGCACCTTTATAAAGTGTAGGATGGAAGTCACTTTCAGAAAAGATAATTGGACAACTACCTTTTTAATATTACTTATAAATTACTTTGCTGCAGGGAAACAACTAAAAATTGTATATTTTCTATGAAAATAGTAAGTAACCCTTTCGTATTACGTAAGAGTAACTATATGATTGGTGGAATACACAATTTTTGTGGTTGGGGACAATAATATTGGTTAATTTTATCAAAACAGTTTTTGGGTGTGAGTTGTCTGTGCTTTGACAATATTCTCAATTACACAGGCCGACAAAATGTGACATGGGTCGGTGTCCAGGCCTGCCACCATTTTATTTCGATAAATGAGGCTTTTTTAAGCATAAGTTGCCACTACGCCTATAGTCCATCAGCTCTGGTATTTTGCGGTATCTTTAATTTAAGAAAATCACAAATTTTCTTCGGCTTTTGGGATATATCTTCAAGAGTGGTCAACCAATTTTGGTAATCTTTTCGGAAATAAATAGTTACATGTCTCTTTTATACGGTCGCTTTGGAAAATTCAATCTAACTCAGCCACACTAGGAGGTGGGCGCATTCAAAATTTTAAAGTCACAGCAAAGTTTAAAAATCTTCATTTGGGGACAACGTTTAAAAATTAAAAAAAAATAATTTCTTTTACAATGCATTTTTGATCCAAAGACACCTTATGTTCTTAATTTATAGGACACTCATCAGGTTTTTGTGAATTGTTTTGGAATTTATAAAATTGTTTTTCTTACTTCCTTTACAGTGACGATTCACAAACAGTGTCTGTCACTGGATCCATTTTAACATTTTTTTTGTAGTGCACACTGGTTGGAAATACCAATTTTTTTTGCATAAATTCAAAATTTTTTAGGGTAAAATATATTGAATTAACTTTAATATTCTTATAATATATTGTTTAACTACAAACAATCGATAACTTTAAGTTGAATATTTGCAACCCTGAATTTTTGCTAGGGCCGCAAAGTTTGTTAACCGATCAGCTGCTTGCAAGCAATAAGAAGCAGCAAATAGTTAATATGGTTTTACAATTTGCTATTTTTAATTTTGTGCACCAATTTGAAAAAAAAAAACAAGATCATTCCTATTAATTTACAAATCGCAAAAATGTTAAATTTCCTATTATTTTTACAATATTTTTTCTGTTTTTTCTATGACAGCTATATAAGAAAGTCTTCCGATTTTTGTTAAACTTAAATCGAAATTCGAAAATATTAAAAAAAGTCATATCCTAGAGTAGAAGACTAGAATTATTATACCCTTGTAGAGGGTATTATAATTTCAGTCAGATGTTAGCAACGCAGTGAAGGAGACGTTTCCGACCACATAAAGTATATATATTCTTGATCAGCACCAATAGCTGAGTCTATCTAGCCATGTCCGTCTGTCCGTTTCTATGCGAACTAGTCTCTCAGTTTTAAAGCTATCGCGATGAAACTTTCCCGTAAATCTTCTTTCTATTGCAGGTAGTACATATGTCGGAGCGAGCCGGATCGGACCACTATATCTTAAGGCTCCCATAGGAAAATTCAAACAAATATAAGAAAATTCATTGTAACATTGTAGGAAGTAGGCGTTTTGATTCTTGACTACATAAAAACAAAATTGGAATTCCTGGAACTGCACCTTTACATTGTAGCATTACTTTATCTACAAGGGAAGCTTATATACTTCGGCTGGCCGAAGGTAGCTTCCTTTCTTGTTTTTCCATTTTTTTTTTTTTTTAATATTCTTAAGGGAGCTATTGGATATAGTTGTCCGATGCAGCTGGTTCCGACTTATGTACAACCTGCAATAGGACAGAAGGACGGACGAACGGACGGACAGACGGACCGACGGACATGGCTACATCGACTAGGCTATTGATGCTGATCTCCTTCACTGCGTTGCAATCTTTTGACTGAAGTTAGCTAATAAAAATGGGTAATGTTGCTTATGTTATGTAGATTATAGGTTAAATCAATTACATACAATTGAAAATAATATATTGGATATATTTGTGTTATCTGTTTATATTGTTAATCGTTTTTGTATTGCCTTAAAGTAGTATATTTTCAACCAAAGTGTCCGTATTTTGTGGAATATAACTAATCTGCTATGATTTGCTAGACAAAAGTAAGTCTGCAACAGTATTTGAAAATATATATAATATACGAATTCATTAATTATATTTGCCCGTTCCTGCCCGTTCCAGTTCCATCTATCCTCTCCAGCTAAAGACAAGGTAGAGTTCAGCCATAGCACGCTGCTCGACATTTGGTATCGCAATAGACTGAGTAAAGAAGCTTTATTTAAGCAGTGGGAAATTAAAATGTAAATATTGTTATGTTACTTACTAAAATATAATTATTTTTATACCCGTTACTCGTAGAGTAAAAGGGTATATTGTATTCGTGCAAAAGTATGAAACAGCTAGAAGGAAGCGTTTCCGACCCCATAAAGTATATATATTTTTGAACAGGGTCACTAGCCGAGTCGATCTAGCCATGTCCGTCTGTCCGTCTGTCTGTCTGTCTGTCCGTCCGTATGAACGCTGAGATCTCGGAAACTATTTTCCACGCATATTCTTGGGCCTCCTACGCAGCGCAAGTTTATTTCAGCCGAGCGCCACGCCCCCTCTAACGCCAACTTATACTCTACGAGTAACGGGTATAAAAATACCTTTCTTTTACTCATTTAGTTAACACTACACTTCTCAAAATATGGGCGGTAAGTGTAGGCGTGGCCAGATCAAACTGATAGTTTGTATACAGTTTGTCAAGTAATTGTTTGCAAAAGGGAAAATGGCATAGAAATTCGTGTTTGGATAGGAAATGTATAAGCAAATACTCAATTTTTTAATTTTTTTCTTTTTGAATGTTGTTTATTAAACTATTATCTCTTCGATTGGTTTCATTTTCATTTTTCAGCCTAAAACACCCTAAAAATCAAGAAAAACTAGAAAATTGCAAATATTCGGTTGTCAATTATTTGTTTGCAAAATGCAAGAAATGTGCAGGATTCGAACTTTTTTGTATATAGCAGGAACAGTGAGGCTCAGATTGCTTACAAAGTGCATGTATACATGGTTCAAAAATTAAGACCATCGTCAGGAGTTATTATCCTGACATTTCTGATAAAACAGTAATAAATGACTTTTCGTTGGACTTTCCTTTAGGGGAATTGCCAAAAATATGATCTCATTTTGCCGATTTTACCGCTCAAAACGGGCGAAAACTGCGTCAAAAATGCCAACACCATACAATCACCTGCAAAAGTTTTTTGGAAGAAAATCCTTAAAAAGTATAATTAAAAATGTCCTTAGACGGCCAATTCCGGGTCGTTTAAATGCAGGGCAGGCACCACGAGGACCCCACCAAAAATTAGTACAATAACTTTAGCCGTTTTCAAGCTATGTTTGCATTTTGCAAACCATTAATTGACAGCCGAATATTTGCAATTTTTTAGTTTTTCTTGTTTTTTAGGGTGTTTTAGGCTGAAAAATAAAAATGTTTTTATGCAATCGGAAAGATAATGGTTTAATAAACAACATTGCAAAAGAAAAATATTAAAAAATCTAGTACTTGCTTGTACATTTCCCATCTAAAAACGAATTTCTATGCCATTTTCCCTTTTTTCACTTTAATTTGGCATCACTGGCGACCGATTTAACAGTTGTCAAGTGATTTATTCTCAGTTTGGTTTGGCAATTCATCATGAATAGACTCACGCCTGAACAACGCTTGCAAATAGTCCAATTTTATTTTAAAAACGATGATGGCCAGAACGTTACAGTCAATGGTGATTGGTATAGAGCCATGATTACTAACTTTTTCATTCCTGAATTGAACAGCCATGATGTCCAGGAGCTCTGGCTCCAACAAGACGGCGTAACATGTCACACAGCTCATGCCACAATCTATTTATTGAAAGACACGTTTGGTGACCGCCTAATTTCACGTTTTGGACCTGTAAATTGACCTTCAAGATCTTGTGATTTAACACCGCTAGACTACTTTCTGTGGGGCTATGTAAAGTCATTGGTCTGTGCGGATAAGCCACAAACGCTTGACCACTTGGAAGACAACATTCGCCGTGTTATTGCCGATATACGGCCGCAAATGCCCACCCGCTGCTCGCTCACGTATACTGTAGAACAGCGGTCTGCACACACACACTCTGATGATCTGCCCAGTGCAATTTACTCATACAAATATTAAACAAAATGCTATTGTATGTGTGTGCCGACCGCTGCTTTATAATGATCTTACCATCAAATGTGCCAAGTTACAGCTCTATGAACATTTTTGGAATTATTGTAAAAAAATTGGTCATTTCGACCAGTGTGCAGTGTAATGATGGTTTCTGTTCCTAATCTCTATTACAAACCCATCCCAATGCCAGAAACCCAAAGTTTAAAAAAAACCGTATTCAGCGTTTGTCAGATTTTTCGTTGAACTACAAAAACCGAGAACAATTCTTTATTGCTAAATAACAGCAACATCACCTTGTTGTAAAAAATAAACAAACAATCGATCTAATCCATTTTGTTCAGTTTTTAGGATTCGTTAATCTTTTGCAAGTGACTGTCCGATTAGACGATGGAGGCTCTGTACATATGTACATAATCAAAACAAAAGTGAATTTTTCCTGATCTCTGGTAAATGTGTACATACATATACATATGTACATATGAATATCGTTTGTTGTGAAATGTAGTACAAAGACGTATGTTTTTAGGCGTGTATATACATTAAACTCTGTGGGCATTAATTAACTTAAGTATTAGACTGCTGGAAACGCCCACATACATATGCATTTATGTATGCAGGTACATACACATTGAGGTAAGGATGGATTTTTTTTTTAAAATAGTGACAGTCGTCGAATTTATTACCTGTTTTATACTTCCATTAGTTTTTTCTAAAATTGTGCTATTATTCATATTCAATGTTTGTGCACAGTTTTCCGTTGTTGCTTGAATTTTGTTCTCGACTCGTAGCTCACCCAGTGTCATGATTATAATTAAAGGTCAAGGCCTGAAAATAAAGCAATATTCATCATAGAAAATATAACTTTTTTTTAATTTGTTTATAGTTTGTTAGGTTTCTTATACATATATGAACAAACACACGTTTACGTGAGAAGAATGTATGTATTAAATACGATTATTGGTATTTTAATGTCTTATGTATGTGAAAATACATTTTCCACAATTTAAAATTCAATATTTTTGTTATGGCTTCCTTAATTTTTTATGAACGGCATGACGTCACCAACTAATATTAATTTTTACTTAAACTACAAGTGTTAGATAAAATTAGTTAAGCAGTTATTATTATTACCCACACACTTGTTATAAACTATTGTCAAGAAAATATTTACATAAAATTCACAAACGAATGTTTCACTATTTTTGGAGAAAGTAGTTCGATAATTATTTATGTATATATTATTATTTATCGTTATTCTGCCATATCCAAATTCCTTTAGATCAATCAGTGTTGTCCTCCATTCGTCGTTCGATCTAAATTATTTCACAAAAAAAATATACTGATCGAAGCAAATATATACATTCTCAATAATTTAAATATAATTATGTTTTCTACCTATCAAAAAAAAATTGTTTTTGTCTTTTGTGTTTGGTAAAGCCTTTAAGCCACTAGCTTAATTGCATTTGTTGCGAGAGTATCTTTGTTTTTTAATAGGGTCTTCCCACAGAAGACCCGTTGAACGGATGTAAGCTGTTCTGCGTACGAAAACATCAATGTTTGCCGAAAAGTCGCAGAATCTGTTCTGCACTTCATAATTAATAACTAACATTAATTAAAAGTGTACTATGGACTCATATAAAGTTCCAAAGTTGATATGAATTACCAAAACAGCACAATTTTGGGTTTGTTTACAAATTTGCCATAGTAATATTGGCTAGACATGTACAGGAGGTTAGGCTCTCACCCAGTCAGCAATATGCATGCACACTCGTATTAGGATATGTTATAAAAGCTAACATATGTTTTATGCCATTTATTATATTATTCTACAATAAGATTAGAAGAACGCAATTTTACGCCAGTTTTGCCGAGTTAAAATCCTCCTTCGTTAGGGCTAGTACTCAACCCAACAAAAATTTCTAAAAAACAAAAAACTTCATAAGAAATAAAAATTAAAGGAATTTTTTCCAAATGAAGTTTATTGGTTTGGACGACTTTTTGTTGGGTTGAGTACTAGCCCTTAATGTTGAGTTGAGCAACTGCTCTTCAAGTCGGCTGTTACAGAGGCTATAAACCACAGTATAATAGGCTCTTCCCATAGAGTCCATCCGTGTTAACGGTTTGGATTTTTGACAAATGTGAAATTCTTGTTTCCAGAGAGCTTCATCCCCCATCCCATCCAATAAGATTGAAGAGCAGTTGCTCAACTGTGTTCAGAGTTGCACTGAAAACTAAACCAAATATTGCATAAAAAACTCATCGAAATCCGTCCGTATGGTTAGTTTAGTCCGCCATAGATTCGGAACGGCAAAACTACGGATGGTAGAGGGATCTCTGTGGGAAGACCCTATTAAACTCGTGTTCCCAAAGAGGGAACAGAGCTCCATCCACCATCTACCATCCGTTGAACGGATGGTCCGTAAGGTTTTGCCGTTCCGAAAATTCCCCAGTTACTCCGCCATCCAATTTTGACGGACTTTTATGCGATAGTTAACCGATGTTTTCTCGGTGCAACTCTGAATTCTTCCTTTATTTTTTAATTATTTGTAGTTTGGTATGAGCGGAAAAGCGTTCGCAAGCAGGTTGCTATGTGTGGGCCAAAATGTAAGCTGGTGTACGTACGAAAACATTAATGTTTGTAGTAGGGATGTCGAAAATATATCAAAATATCAATATATCGATATTTTTTACGAAAAAATAAATATTTTTATAGTGATATTTTTTTTGAATAATTATCATATATCATCGATTTTGATTTTACATTTTTTTGATAATTTTAAGTGGTCTTACTTTTCATCGGGACAAGAAAAAATACATATGGGCACTTCCAGCAAAAGGTCCACCAAGCCAAAAAAACTTGAAACTTGAAAAAAACATATTTCCACATGATTTTGCCGCCATATTAGGTTCTAATTAGTTGGATCCTGAGCTAAACTAAAAATTTGGAGTATAGTTTGATTATTTTTATGACAAACCCCAATAATATACACAAAAGTTAGTTATTGGCTTTTTTTTTTTTATTTTTTGGACCTGTCTTCTGTTGTTAATTTATCCTATAGGAATGCTAATATGTGACATTTTTCTGTACTGAATGCTTCATTCACATGCTAAACTATTAAGTTAAAAGCAAAACATCCAGCAATTGAGAGATAGAGGTAAAGAAATCCGCTTTACAAAACAGTCGGAAAAAATGTCCCGAGCGACATGTCCCGAGCGAATGTATAAAAAAAAAACGGCAAAGAATTTTTGAGTAAAACCAAAAGCATTTCACAGCGACATGTTTGAACAACATTCTAAAAAAATCGCATTCAAATATTCCATCAGAATTCGGTAATTTCTGGTGTTGTATGAACTTTCCCGAAATCCACTTCTATTTTTGTCCCGAGCGAATACGGCAGTTTTTTTTTACCGATATCTTAAAACCTAAAAGTGGTAAAAAATCAAGATTTTTACAAAAAATAGAGCTTGGAAAGAGTGAAAAGAAAAGTCCATAATTAAAATTAAAATCCATTGTTTTACAATTTATTTTCAACTTTAAAGGTGTGCAAATGTCCCGAGCGACATTTTGGAAGTGCCGATATGTGAAAGATGAGCGCCGCTAAAATTTATTTTTCGGCAAGTGAAAATGCATAGCATAGCATTCAGAATTCAAGAAAATGCGGTAAAAAAAATGCGCGGGAAATACTTGATTTTAATATTATAAATAAAAGCAAAAGACAGCAAAAATAAATATTGTTTTCTTTTATTTATTAATAAATATAAACTAAAAATTATAAAAATATAATTTAAGATCGTATGTGGGTTAATGTTTAGTGGTTATTGCTTATGCAGCTTCAAATTAAAAAAAAAATAATAAAACAAAAATATCAAAAATATCTGATATGAATATATTTTTTTCTGATATATCAAATATTGTTTTGATTTTTTTTTAAATAATGAATATCATTGATACGATATTTTTAAATATTTCGACATCCCTAGTTTGCAGCAGTGTCAAAATAAGTTCTGCACTTCATAAAAATAACTAATATTAATTAAAAGTGTACTTTGTTCTCCTATAAAGTTCCAAAGTTGCTATAAACTACCAACAACTAGGGACCGTAAATAACAGTTATTTGAGATTTTTATTTTAAAAAGACTACTAGGATATTTTGTTCAGTTTTATTTACGGTCCCTGTTAAAAACAGTACAAATTGGGTTTTGTTCACAAATTTTTCATATTAATTTTGGCTAGGCAGAAGCGTAGTAAGAGCGGTGTCTGGGGTACGGGAGGTTAGGCTCCACCCAGTCAGCAATATGTATGCATACTTGTTGTAGGATATGTTATAAACTTTCAGATATGTTTTTGAACTATTTTCTTAATCTATTTATTGTATTATTTTACAATAAAATTAGGGGAACGCAATTTCACGATAGTTCTCCCGAGTTCAAATCCCCCTTCGTTAATGTTAAGCTGAGCAACTGCTCTTCAGTCAGCTGTTATTGGATGGTAGATGGTGAATGGAGTTCTGTGGAAACACTAGTTTCACATTCGTCAAAAATCGCAACCGTTTCAAACGGATGGACTCTATAGGAAGAGGCTATTAAAGAGCAGTTGCTCTTCTGAACATAAACATAAAGGAAGGGGATTACAACTTGGTAAAACTGTCGTAAAATTTCGTTCTCCTTATCTTATTGTAGACGCACAATAAATAAAATAATGTAATAGTTTAAAACATTTCTGTGGTTTTATAACATATCCTACAACGAGTATGCATACATATTGTTAGCCTCCCGTACGCCACACTCAGCTTATATTAATATAAAAGAATATTGTAAGCAAAATCAAATTCGATCAACGGATGCTGGTTGGCTCTCTGTGGGAAGATGCTATAAGTCAGCTTTTATTGGATGGTGAATGTGCCCCTTGAGAATTTAAATTTCACAATTGTAAATAATAACGGATCTGGGTATTCCATAAAGTGTTATATTGTTGAAAATTCGACAGAAATTTTAAGCAAATTTTCTTGTTTAATGTGAAAACTCTGGTTTGCAACATTTCAACAAAATTTTTAACAGCATCGAGGCTGTTGGATTGCTGAAATTTCGCAAGGTTAATTTTGTATGGAACAGCAGAGGACCAAAATTTAACATTTCAGCAATTAAACAGTTTAGGAAATACCCTGGGTGTCAAAGCATTTTAAAAGTGTCTCTCTATTAATCTATCGAATCTTATAATTAGAATAATCTTAAGATTTTATTTAACAGAATTATAAACGAAAATTTTCATATACCTTTTTTATGCTAAGAATGTTTGAAGCATTCATAGCATAAAAATTAGGATGTGTTCGAAAAAATCATTTAATTTGGGCGTTTGAAAGATAAAGGGTTACACTTTTAAAGTGCTTTGACTGCACAACGAGACAAGGTTCAAATTTTACCAAAAGCAGAATTTTTCCAACTTTGAGGTCTTTATTTTTGGCGAACGCCGGTAAAATGTGAGATTTGAAGAGAATGCAATTTTATGGCATCCATCCATTGTAACACAGTGTAATTTGTAAAGTGTAAAAAATAACAGGAAAAATATATTGTACGACAACTGATGTTCAATTCATCTTATATCGAATGATGGATGTGCTTACCTAAGCTTCTTCAAATAGAGAATAATAATTCCGAAAAACTTTCAGGTAAACTGGGCTGCAACATGTTTTCCTCGGCTCTTTCCAGCAAATGTACTAAGTTTGCAAGAAAAAGTGTCTGTTATGGAATTTGGTCGCTGTTGCAGAAACTACCTCTGTATGAACAGGCTTTTATAGCAGAACAAGAGTAAATTAAATATATTTCCCAGTGTAATAATAATATAACATTAAATTAAATATATGTCATAGTGTAATAATAATATAACATTCAGTGTGAATCAATTGTTTATTATGTTTTTTTAATCACTGTTTTTAGTATGTTATAGGGGTCTTCCCACAGAGCTCCACCATCTACCATCCGTTGAACGGATGGTGCGTAAGGTTTTGCCGTTCTGAAAATTTCCCAGTTAGTCCGCCATTCAATTTTGACGGGCTCTTTTATGCGATAGTTAGGCGATGTTTTCTCGGTGCAACTCTGCACTCCGAAAAAATGTAAGCTGTTGTGCGTACGAAAACATCAATGTTTGAAGCAAAGTGTCGAAATATGTTCTGCACTTCGTAAATATAACTAATATTAATTAAAAGTGTACTTTGAACCAAAGTTGCTATAAATTACCAAAAACAGCATAAATTTGGTTTTGTACACAAATTTTTCATATTAACATT